AATAATGTTGTTAGTAAATTTTTCTGTTTTAGCTCTGTAATTTTAGGAATATTTATAATATCTCTAATTATAGCAAATTGCTATACAAAAATTTCATGGTTTGCAAGCCACATATAATGAAATATATTTTTATTTATTAAAAAATCTTATTTATATACTCTAAATCCTCATTAATTAAGAGCCGCATAAATTAAGGGCCAAAAAAATATTTTTTATGTTATAGTGATATATTAGATTCTCAGATCCCTGACTCAACCCCCATTTTTTTGAGGAATTACAGTAAATATGTAAATTTAATTGCTTTTATGATAATTTTATTTTTTAATACTTTAAGATATTAAATGAAAAACTAACAAAATTAAGTATTAAAATTTGTACTGAAAAATAAATAATTAGATTCTTTCTCAAATAGATTATTTTATTTTACAAGAAAGTTTAATAAACATATTTTAAAATATAATTTTATATTTTATAACCAAAAAATTATTTGACACAAAACCAAAGATTTAAATGTTTTATTTTTTAATTTAAAATATCAAGTAAATTATTGATTGCTTTACTTTTTATATTTCAAAATATATTTATTAATAATGAAAGACAACAAAATTAAATTTCAAACAAAAAATTATTTTATACAAAACCAAAGAATTCAATATTTTATCTTTTTAATCTAAAATATCTAAAATAAGTGAAACATAAATTGCTTTATTTTTAGTTTATATAAATAAGCTCTACTTTTATTAATTTTTTAATATTTCTATTAAATTGATAAGGAAAAATGTTTACTACTTTTAATAAATAATATAAAGAAAATTAAAAAAATAAATTAGCTTTAGACTATTACGGTTATTAGTTAAGTTAAAATGTAAAAATGTAAAAATAATTTATAAAATTAGAGAATCAGATAAATTGATTACTTGTAAATAAGAGATTATAAATTTAGATATTTATTAGCTCTAATTAGCTAATGATCATCATTATTTAATGTTAAATATTTTATTTATTTTTTCAAAATATTTTTAATTTTATAAATTAAGATAAAACAAAAGTTAATAAAATTTGTAAAACAATAAAATAAATTTGAAAACAAACTAACAAAAAAAGAATAAATCAGAAAATAAATAAATTTTAAAATAATAAAATTACTAAATCCTTACTATATTCATATTTTTTAAAAAAGACCCAAAAATATAAAATTTTTATCTCTTTATTTTAGGAAATTATCAGATTATAAAAAATAAAAAAATAAAGCATATTATATTATATATAATATTCAAATATATTTAGATTTATTTATTTTCAATACCAATCATATGTTATTTATAAGGTAATTAATCTTTTTGATTTAAGGTACTTTGCTTTCAATTAGTTTGATTACTAGACTGTATTACGACTTTTAATATAAATTAGTGTAAATTACTCAAAAAAAAATAAATTGGATAAAATATTTTATTTTTTTTAATAAAAAAATTACACAATTAAAAGTTAAATAATATTAAGTTAATAAATATATAAATAAAAAGAGGAGTTAAATTTTTTTCAATTCATTATAATATTAAAAAATATCATAATTCAAAATAAATAAATAAATAAATAAATAAATAAATAAATAAATAAATAAATAAATGAATAAATAAACTAATTTTACTCAAGATGAAGTTTCAAATTTTTGAGATTAGTGCACCTTCTTAAACAAGAACCTAAGTATGATGCGCCTTAAGTATCAATATTGTTAATTCTTTTTAAATATTTAAGAAAAGAAATATCATTAATTTATAAGTTAGTTAGTTAGTTAGTTAGTTAGTTAGTTAGAAGGAAAAAAAAAGAAAAAATGTGAAATATTAAGAAATTTATATTCTAATAATAAAAGCAAAAGTTGAAAATCAAAAAATGAGTTAAATAAAAAAGTAAAAAAAAATGATTTAAATAAACAAAATAAGAAAGTAAAAAAAGATAAATTTTTAAAATAAAAAGCTAATAAATAACCTATTAAATTTCAACTTTTTAAATATTTTAGAAAAAATAAAGAGTTTATTATTAAGTGAGAATGAAAAAATGAAGATAAACTATTAAATAGTAAGGGATGTATTTATTAATCATAAAAGGCAAAAGTTGAAAATTAAAAAATTAATTAAATTAACTAAACAACAAAGAAAGAAAGAAAAAACAAATAGAAGAAGAATAAAAATTAATATATTAAAAAGTTAATAAATAAATTAAAAGAATAAGCTTTTTATATTGTTTTAAATTCATTTTTATATTCAAAAATATCACAATCTAAAAAAAAAAGGTGTTTGTTTTTACCTAAGATCAAGTGTCAAATTTGAGAGATTAACACATTTTCCTAATCCTGAACATAAGCCTGATGCACCTTAAGGACCAATTTAGCAATAACTTTTTAAATATTAAAGAAATAATATCTAGTTAATTATTTAGCTAAAAGGAAATATGAAGAAAAGGTGAAATGAGAAATTAATAATTAATAATAAAAAGCAAAAGTTGAAAATAAATAAATGAGTAAAATTAATAAACAAATAATAAAAAAATAAAAATAAATCAAATAAAAGATTAAAAAGTTAATTAATTAAAAGAGATAGTTAGTTAGTGATTTTGTTTTCAATTCATTTATATATTCAAAAATATCACAATCCAAAACAAATAAACTGTTTTTACTAAAGGCTAATTGTCAAATTTGAGAGATTAATGCATTTTCCTAAACTTGAACCTAAGACTGATGCACCTTAAATACCAATTTCATTAAACCTTTTTAAATATTTAAGAAATAATATATATATAATTAGTTAGTTAGAAGGAAAAAATGAAGATAAAATGAGAATTAATAAGAAATTAATTAATGTATTTTCTCAAAAAATTCCAACCTAACTCCAAGAAATACTAAATTTTAGTAAATTTTCTCAAAATAGTCCTAATTTGGAAGTTATGACTTAGATTTTAGTCCGAATAATGAGAAAATGTCAATATTTTCATCAAAAATTAGATTTTCATTAAAAGATTACTTTATTCATTTTTTAATAATTTCCTTAGATAAATTTTACAAACATTTTTTGTTAATTTGGCGCGTTTTTATAAAATTTAATTAAGTTCTGATTTGTTTTTGGTAGTTTAAGTTAATTATTTAAATATAATTATCGT